AAGTGAAGGGATTAAGATGTACAAACTAGTAGTTACAAAACAGTCACAGGGATGTAAAGTACAGCACGGGGAATACAGTCAATAATATTGTAATGACTATGTATACTGCCGGGTGGGTACTGGAAATATTGGAGGGGACCACTTTGTAAAGTATATAATTGTGTACCCACTACATTGTACACCTGAAGTTAATATAAAATAATATTGAATGTCAACAATAATTGAAAAAATTTTTTTTAAGTCTTGGCTCCTGAAAAAAAAAAGACTGAATGTATGTAATAATTACTCACGGATACAAATGTTGTGCATGGAAAATCAGAAATAGTATAAAGACCTATTATTTTAATTAGGAAAAGGATTTATCCAACGTCACTGGATACATCATTAATAGATAAAAATCAATTGCATTGCAGGCTTCCAGTTTTAGACCAAGAGGAAGGAAGCATATGTCTCTCTAACAGGCCTTAAAGCAGAGTAAAAATCCTGGACATTGCATACACATCAAATATAACAATATTCCAAAAGGTAGAGAGAAGACAGCAGAAATGCTAAGCCTATTAAGGCCCCAGGAGTGACAGCATTGGTGTCAAAGGAGGCAACGTGGGGAACCTAACTGGGTCCCTCCCACCTGGTAGCAACGAGCCAGTAGCCCAGCCACGTGTCAGAAAATGCCTTCTATAGCAGAAGATCCAGAACCTCATCACATAATACCCAACATGTCCAGGTTTCAATTTTTTTAAAAATCACTCGCCATAATGAGAACCAAGAACATCTCATCTTGAGTGAGAAAAGACCATTGGTAACACCCAGCTGACACAGACGTTGGAACTGGCTGACAAGGATTGTACATCAGCCATAATAAAAATGTGTTGATGAGCAATTACAACCACGATTAAAGTAAATCCAAGAAATCGGAAGTCTCAGCAAAGAAATAGAGAATCTGTGACCTCTGGCTCATAGGTCAATGCTCAACCATTGAGCCACACCAGCCAGGTGAGAGCTAAATGCCATTTAGAAAGTTGCTCTTGAGTTCCCACTGGTTGCCAGGAGCAACCTGATGAGTGACAGGAAGACACCCAGGGTCTTTGCAACTGGAACTAGCCTTGAGGAGGGTATTGTCATTCCCATGTTGTCACCAGGTAGCCGTCCAGTGTCCGATCAGAGAGGTAAACCTGGGGTCATAAACAGAGGTTCCGGAGGGTGAAGGGGAGTCACACAAAATGTTAGATACACAGCTGCCCACCACAGGGACGCCTCTCCCTCCACTGTCCTCTCCTGGGTCATGTCTGGGTGGTGCGATGTTTTGGAATAGGGGTGTTCCACAGCCTCACTCGGGGACTCTGAGAGAAAATGCCTTCCGTTGGCAGAGAAGTAGGTAATGAATAGGATAATACAACTTTCCGAGGGGAAAGTGACAAAATGAAAGTTCTTGAGATGGGGACATTATCCTGGATGATTTGTGTGAGTCCAGTGTCTTCACGGGAGAGACCAAGGGGTCAGAGTCAGTGGTAGGAAATGGGATGATGGATCAGGAGGTTGCTGGGATGGAGGGAGGGGTCAGGCAGCTTCTGGAAGCGGGAAGAGGCAGGGACACTCTCACCCCAGTGCAGCCCAGGGAGACTGACTGTGTCCTTGTGACCTCCAGAACCCGAGATAAGAAATCATCTTGTTTAAAGCCACGATGCTTCTGGTCATTTCTTACAGCAGCAATAGGAAACCAACACGGACACTTCTGCTTCCTCTTGGCTAATGTTTGCACAATATTTCCTTTCATCTTTTTGCTTTTAAGTGATTGGCACCGTGTATTAAAGTGAACCTCGTCCTGGCCTGGAGGCTCAGTTTGTTGGAGTGCCATCTGTGGCTCAACAAACTGCACCAAAAGGTTGTGGGTTGAGTTCCCAGTCAGGACACATACCTACATTGTGTGTTCAATCCCCATTCAGGGCAGGAATGGGAACTAACCGATTCTCTCTCTCTCTCTCTCTCAATCAATCAATCAATCAATCAATAAAAATGTGTCTCCTTGGGTGAGGATTAATAATAATAAAATAATAAATAACAAAATAAAGTTAACCTATTGTCAACTAGAAACAGTTGGCTCTTACTTGTTAATTCAGCCCTAAAATCTCTGCCATTTAGCTGTGCTTTCACCGTTTACATTTAATGTGATCATCCGCCATGGTGTTATTGGTGTCCCATATTATTTGTTGTTTCTTCAGTTTTCCCTTTACTGTCCCTCCTTTTAGTTTTTTGGATGGCTTTTTTTTTTAGTATTCCATTCTAATGAATTTACTGGTATTCTAAGTACGACTCTGTGCATGATGTTTCTGGAGGGGCTATGGTAAGTATAACAATATAGACACCTAATTTCACAAATTCTACACAGAGGTCATATTTTACTTCTTCAAGGAAAATGCAGAAGCTTTACAGCCGTGCAGTTCCTTCTACCCTCACCACTTTATGCTATAGTTGTTACATGGATTACTTCTACATACATTACACAACCCACAAAACCATGTGACTTATTATTTGCTTTCAGCAACCATGCATATTTTCTCAAACTTTAGAGGAGAAAAATATGCTATTACATTTACTTAGCTATTTATTTAGATAGTTTTGTTCTCTGTTTATTCTCGAATTTCCAAGTGTCCCTCTAGGATTATTTCCTTTCTGCCTGAATAACTTATCATCTCTTTTAAGCAAGTCTCCTGGCAACAAATTTACTCAGTGTTCCTTCCTCTAAGAATATTTTGAGTCCATTTCTGAAGAATACATCCAGAGAAATTCCAGGTTGACTATTCTCATCTCCCAGGACTTTAAACATCTTCCAACCACAATGGTTTCTGATAGGAAATCTATAATCACTCAAATCATGTAATGTGCCATTTTTCTCTGGATTTTTCAATTTATTTTTACTAGTTTGATAGTTTGGTGATTATCAGTGTTGCCATGGACATGAAGATATACAGTATAATAGGGTTCCTTAAACATGTAACTGTATGACTTTCAGCAAATTTGTGAAATAGCTATTTATTTCTTCAAATCTGTTTTTTCTTCATTGACATCATTCTCCTTTGCTGGGACATCAATAACATAAATTGTGGCAGGTCGCCAAGTCTGTCTGTGACCATGTTGAAATCTGGATTGCCACCCACTCGGGCGCTTCCTCAGTGCTGGAGACAGAAGTCCCAGTGTGAGGGAGGAGCTCTGCTCAGGGGAGGAGGGGCCCAGAGGAGGCAGCAATGACTCTGAAGTTTCAAAGGAGAGCCATGAAGAAAAAGATGGTGCTGACCCACAGAAACAGGAAATTAGGAAAGGGAAGGAAGTGTGTGGGGAAAGAAAATCCAGTCCTCGTGGGGCCCTGCTTTCTTCTGAGAAATGGGGATCAGTCTTCTCAGCATCTCCAGGCCTCCCTGTTCCCTGGGGTGTCCTCCCTGGGACGGCCCCACTGGCTCCTCCAGGCACCAAGGAGAGTGGAGCAGCCTTCACTTCCTCATTGGAGCACTTCACATCGACCATCAACTCACTCCATGCACCACATTGAGCCCCTCTGAGCAGTGCCCCCCACCCACCACAGACTCAAGATGTCTCATCTGTGTCATCCAATCAACCTCCTTCCTGGTCCTCCAACCCAGGCCACACACTTTCTCCAGTTCTCTCCTCTCCCCACTTCTTGAGGACCCTTCCTATAGGCCCATCTGGTCTGAGCCTGCCTGCTGTACCCCCTCCACCAGTTTCCACCTTCAAAAGAGATCCATGTTGTACATCTGATATTCAAGACTGTGAATGGTCAGGTTGAGCTAAACTCACCAGCCCCAGCAAGCAGGACTCTCCCTCCACAACCCAACTCACCCAGTTACCCACACACCCCTGCACACCAAACCATACTCGGAAACTGAGCTGTTGGAAAATCCTGTGCAGTCAGGTGACTCAGTTGGTTAGAGCGTCATCCCGATGTGCCAAGGTGGGAGGTTCAAACCCTAGTAAAGCCACATACAAGATTCAAGCAATGAATGCATCAATAAGTGGAACAACAAATCTCTCTCTCAAATCTCTCTCTCTCTCTCTCTCTCTCTCTCTCCCTAGCCACCTCCATTCCAACCTGCTGGACCAAACCCATCCTGTCTCATCTAACACAACTGAAAATGTACTTTGTGTTGAAGGTTTGTGTAAGAGTTATAGGCGAAAACCACATAAATAACTAAGATACTGACCAACAGACCATCCAGGGGCCAGGTGAACGTTGGCATTTTATTATCAATGGTGTTAACAATCAATAGAGCTGGTCTGCATGGCATTTTCACATAGTGGTCACCTTTTTAAATCAGAAATCTTTTCGTACAATCTGTTGCTTCAAATTTATCCCATTGACTTGGAGCTAAAATCCCAAATATTTGCATGGTTCTCTAGACCCTGTGTGACTAGCCTGAGCCTTCACGTGACTGCTCTCACTTCTGACAACAGCTCAAGATCTTTCTGGTCAAAGACCACCCCCACCCCCTCAGCCCACCACCTCTGAGCTGTTCCCTGCTCATGCCTTGGGTCAGTCCATGCCTGAGAAGGTCCCCCTCAGCCAGGACCCAGGTTGCATGGAATCTGCCTATTATTGAACCTCATTATCACATTTCCTTTATTCTCCCAACGGACTCATGAGGCTGTAACTGAACTGTGAGCCTTATCACATTTCCTTCATTCATCTCAGCCCCATGAGTCCAGGGAAGGGATCCCTGACGCCTAAATATCTGTAACATCTGCTTCATTCATCTCAGCCCCATGAGTCCAGGGAAGGGATCCCTGAGCTTCAGCTACGACTCTCCAGAGCCTGGCCAGTGACGGCCCAGGGTCACTGCTCAGTAAGTACTGCCTGATTTCCTGGCCAGTGAGAGAAGGGAAGAGCAACTGCATTTAGAGACGCCCAGGAAAGGGAAGTGTCTTACACAAGCTCACAGAGGTTCTAGAAAAGGCAGAGTCAGAATTGGGCCAGAAATGGGTGGGGTCCTCTCCTGCCCTGTTCCTCCACCCTCATCACCTGGGTGGCTGTCACCCTCTGGATTTGGCTTTGGCATGAGGTGGAGGCAGAGCGTGTGGGGTCTGGTGAGACTCAGGTCAGTCTCAGAGGTCCCACAGCTTGCTGTCCCCTAAGGCCCACCCTTCAGGGAGGGGCTACTTCCCTTCTTGTGAGGCCACTGATGAGGAACCAGTGATTTATCACTTGGGGACTAGACCTCCTCCTTCTTTTCCTTCTCCTTCTTCTTCTGGACCTTGTCACACCTCATTCTTGCCTTTGTCCCCCAGGCTCTGTGCAGTTTATGCCGCACACTGGGGACCATGTGAGGAAGTCCCCCAACACAGAACCTCGCTACCCTTCTCAGCCTCGGTGAGCTCTTGGGAAAGGAGGAGGGGAGGGGGTGCTAACAGCTCAGTAACCATCCCTGGGCTGAAGGGATGGTGGAAGGAAGGGAGAAAACGTGCATGTGTGGAGTCTCAGGAAAGAGAAGGGAACTCCCAAGGTCACACAGACTCGGTGAGAGGCAGGAGCTGGTGCTTCCTTCTGCTCTTCCCTGTGCCCTGCACCCTCGGGGACTGGGAGCAGGGTCACCCTCTGGATTGGGGTTGGACAGGAGGTGGAGGCAGAGTGTGGGGGGTCTGCTGAGACTCAGATCTGCTCCTGAAGGTCCCGGGACCTGCTGTGTCCTCAGCCATCCTTCAGGGAGAGCAGAGTGAGGCTGACGAGGAAACAGGGACCTGTCAACCGGAGCCAGGACCTTGTCACACCCGTGCATCTGCTTGTCCTGCTGGGCTCTGCAGACTTCATCCCTCATCAGTGCCACTAGGGACCATGGCAGACAGCACCACCACCTTGACCTTCATTGTCCTCCTGGGCCTTGGTGAGTCTGTGGGAGAAAAAGGAGGGATGGGGTCCTCTTCCCTCCCAGGTCCTGGCCTTGCGAGACCCCAGGACTCAGGAGGCTCAGTGGGGGCACGACTTTGAAGGGAGGAGACATGCTCAGCACCAGGTCTGCCCCCAGTGCTCAGGGGCCCAGACCAGGCCTGGGGCTTCTGTGTGCGGCCGGGGACGATTCTCACAGGGACTCTCTTCCAGGGCTGTGTCAGGGCCCGTGGGACCAGGTCCAGGCAGGTGAGTCTCCCCCCAAACCCCACCTCCTGCTTCAGCACAGTCACCCCCTGGGCAGCTGGGGAGACACAGGGTTGGAATAATGGTGACCAGTCTGGGAGGGACCTGGGAGTGACAGCTGGTGAACGTGGGGAGAAGGAAGCCCCTGACATTTCAGGTCTCATTCCTTTCCAGGAGACGTCCCCAAACCCTCCATCTGGGCTGACCCAGGCCCCATCATCACCAAGGGGAGCCCCGTGACCATCTGGTGTCAGGGGTCTCTGCAGGCTAGTGCCTACCTTCTGTATAAAGAGAGGGGCTCTGAGCCCTTGGCAACCAGGATCCCACAGGATTCCAGCAACAAGGCCGGTTTCCTCATTGAAGCCATGAACCCATCCTATGCAGGCCTGTACCAGTGTGCATATTACACCTCTGGGAACATGGTCTCAGAGCGAAGTGAGCCCCTGCTCCTGGTGGTGACAGGTAAGAGAGACACTGGCTCCCCTCCCCACTGTGGGCTCCAGGTCACAGGCAGAGGAACTAAAGTGTGGCCTCAGGGGACCCCACCCCTCAGAGAACACACCTGGGGCATGAGGGTGACGGTCCCTTTAACACAGACCCTTTCTCCTTTCTCAGGAGTGTACAGTGCACCCTCCCTCTCAGCCCAGCCAAGCCCTGTTGTGGCCTCAGGAGGGAACGTGTCCCTCTCCTGTAGCTCAGAGTTCACATCAGGCCGTTTCCATCTGCTGAAGGAGGGAGGGGCTGACCCACCCGGACACATGGAGTCAGAACCCAGGATCCATGTTAGGATGTGGCAGACCATCTTCCCTCTGGGGCCCGTGAGCCCCTCCCATGGGGGGACCTACAGATGCTATGGTTCTTCTAGTACCTACCCCAACGTGTGGTCACAGCCCAGTCACCCTCTGCACATCGACGTCACAGGTGAGGGACAGGCCCAGGTGCAAACTCGTGTGTTTCCTGGGCCCACAATGACAGACATGAATTGTGTGCCCAGTGGAGACCTGGGCTCATGGGGTCTGTGACACTGGCCTCTTGGGGACAGACCCACAGGCGGAAGGCTCAGGGAGGGACATGTGAGACCTCTCACTGCAGCCCAGTGGGCGATGGGGGTGTCCCCTGGTGCCACTGTCCCCTCCTCCCAGGTGTGCACAGGGAGCCCGTCCTCTCGGCCCAGCCAGGCTCGCTGGTGCTGCCTGGACACAGCCTGACCCTCCGGTGCCACGCGGAGGCCGGCTTTGACACATTCGCTCTGACCAAGGATGAGGGGTTCACACACCCCCAGCGCCTCGATGGGCAGCACAGCCCCGACTTCCCCCTGGGCCACGTGAACTGCACCCACGGGGGCCGGTACAGATGCTACAGTGGACACCGTCTCTCCTCTGTGTGGTCAGCCCCCAGCGGCCCCCTAGACATCCTGGTGGCAGGTGAGGAGCCAGCCCTGCTCCTGTCCTGAGGGTCTGCTCAAGGCTCTGGGCCCAGGGCCACCTGGGGGTGATGAGGTCCAGGAGAGGGGCCTGGAGCAGAGGCTGAGCTGGGCAGAGGCCTAGGAGAGGGAGGGAGAAAGGGGATGAGGCCATGGAGATAAAAGACACCCCCAGGGGGACTGAGAGTAGCTTGGAGGGGTCACAGACAGAGTCTCTGGAGAAGGACAAGGTCCCTCAGCTCAGGGTCAAAGATATGAGGGGAGGGGTGGCTCTCTACACATCACACCTTCCTCTCCCCAGGAATGTACAGGAAACCCTCCCTCTCAGCCCAGCCGGGACCCTCAGTGCCCTGGGGAGCGACCGTGACCCTGCAGTGTGGGTCTGAGATCTGGTTTGACACCTTCCACCTGTACAGGGAGGGGTCGCTGGACCCTCCCCAGCACCTTCATCTGCAGGACACGTCTGCACCCTCTCAGGCCAACTTCACCCTCAGTCCTGTGACCTCAGGCTACCAGGGGACCTACAGGTGCTATGGTTCAAACAGCACCTCCCCCTACCTGCTGTCACAGCCCAGTGACCCCTGGAGCTGGTGGTCTCAGGTGAGGAGCCCTAGACCTGCCCCCGTGTCCTCATGTCAGTTTTGGGCCCTGCCCCAGGGGACCTTGGCCTGCAATGGGCATGAGGTAGTACCAGGAGGAGGGCCACCGAGAAGCAACTCTCACCTCCCAGAGGGATGGAAAGAGCCAGAGCTGGTCCCTTGCCTGCCTCATTCTCATCCTCATCCTCCTCCCTGAGGCCCAGACATGCTCCCGTGGGCAGAGGGAAGCTGGCGAGGATGGAGCTGCTCAGAAGGAGAAAGGCCAGAGGAACCCATCCCAACCCTCCTGTCCCCAGTCCTATGGCTTCAGCCAGAGAGACCAAGACAGGAGTGTGACCAGCAGAGGCCAGATCCCCAGAGAGAGCAGGACCCCCTGCTGGGGCTCGGCCTGTCTCCCAGGGGGGATTGGGGAATGGAGATGCTGGGGGACCACCAGGGGAGGAGCAGCCCCCACCCCCCCGCCTCCCGTCCTGATTGAGGAGCCTCTGAGGATTGGTCCCCCAACGGGAAGTCAGGCCTTCAGAGGACTCAGTGAGGGTCTGGGGGGAGGTGGTGGGTGGGAGGAGCTCAGTGTTGGTCTTGGCTCAGCCACTTCCTGGGTCATGGCCTGAGATATGTTCCTCCTTCTCACTGGGACCAAGTTCCCCAAAGGCTGCCAGGACACTTTGTGTGCAAGTGTGTTTGTGTGTGTGCAGGCGCATTTGTGCATGTGTTCACACCTGTACCTCCATGCATATGTGTGTGCACGTGTGCACCGGTGTGTCTGTGTGTGTGTCTCTCTGTCTGTGTGCATGTGTGTTGGGGACTCAGTCTCCTCCATAGCCTTCCAAGGAGCAGCCGAGGAGTCAGGAGGAGAAGCCTCATCCCTGGTTCAAATCCCAGCTCTGCTCCTTCCCGCCTGTGGGACCTTGGACATGTCTTTTCCTGTGAGTCCTGGTCCATGGGCTGTGGGTCAGGCCCCCACCTCCCTCACAGGAAAGGCCCTCAGCTCGCAGCCCAGCCCAGTTAGAGCCAGGAAGGACCCAGCCCTCCCTCCTGCCCTTCCCGGAGGCGCCCCACGTGCACAGGCCCCACTGTGGGGGCGGGAGGTGTCAGTCTGCAGAGTGGGACAGGGATCTGGGCTGGGATGGAGAGGGGTGGTTCTACCTGCAGGTACAGGGACAGCATGAATAATAATAATAATCCTATATAATAAGGAGCTAATGTGCTATTTAGACCAAACAGCAAAACAACCGTCCAGACATCCTTCCAGATGACCTTCCGGATGAAGCCGGGGCTGTAAGGGCCAGCCAGGGCTGCGAGGGCCAAGCCCCTTGCACGAATTTTGCAATCATAGTCATAATGCCCTGACCAATTTTTCTCCTTTGGTTAGAGTGTCAATCCGCGAACTAAAGGGTGGCAGGTTCGGTCCCTGGTGAAGGGCACATACTTTAGCTGCTGATTTGATCCCCCACCCTGGTCAGGGCACATGTTGGAGGCAACCAGTCAATGTGTCTCTCTCACATCAATATTTTCTCTCTCTCTCTCTCTCTCTCTCTCTCTCTCTCTCTCTCTCTCTCTCTCCTCCCTGACTTCCACTCTCTCTCTAAAGATCAATAGAAAAAATATCCTTGGGTGAGGATTAAAACAATAATAATAGTAACAACAACACACAGGGATCCCCCTGTCCCAGGTTCCAGTCCCAGCCCTGCCCCTCCCAGGCTGGGTGACCTGGGGCTTCTGATTAACCTCTCTGAGCCTCAGTGAAATGGGTAGTGGGGTGAGCAATTCCTGTCGCATGGCTGTTGTGATGTTAGAAGAGATGAATGACAGACCCCAGCATGTGCCTCACACACAGTAGGTGCTCATTTATTACATCATTGGCTCAGTCATGACATCACTTGTATTCAAGGTCTAGAATGGAACCGGAATATCCTGATCGGGGTCTCGGTGGCCCTCATCCTGCTGTTCTCCCTCCTTCTCTTCCTCTTCCTCCGATTCCGGCGTCAGAGCAAAGGCAGTACATCGGGTGAGTAGGGGTGACCTGGGTCACAGGAGGGAAAGATCCAAGCACCTGCCACAGGAAAACCAAACAGCTGGAGGTTAGCTGAGAAAAAGATTTCTCCAGAACCTCAAATCAGGAAATGTGGAGCCCCAGCTGGTTTGGCTCAGTCAATAGAGTGTCGGCCTGCCCCAAAGGCCCCGGGCTTTCACTAACCTTGGCCCGCACTGTGCCTTAACCCTCCTGTCTCCTCCCCGAGCTGCAGCCTGTGAGGGGAAGAAACAGCTGCCCTGGGGGAGGGGGCACAGGGATTTCAGGAGGGGATGGGGAGGGTTATGCTGGGAGGGTGTGGGGTCAGGGGTGGGAAGGACTGAGATGCACACTGTGTGACCTGGCACTGCACCTCCCTCCTGGGAGCAGGCGGGTCTGCAGCCCTGAGATCTCGGGGACCTGCCAGGAGACACCCCTGTTCTGCCCCAGCAGATGCTGCCATGAAGGACCCGCAGCCTGGGGAGAGCGTGGAGCTGGATCCTCGGGTGAGACCCCTGCTCCTGTCCAGGCTACCAAGGACCTTCTGTTGCCCAGTTTAATCCAATGGACTCTTCCCTGTCCCACTTCACCTGCTTCCCAGCAGCGTCCACACTGACCTCCCCTCTGGGCCCCAGGTCCTCCTGCTGTGACTCACTCCTCCTGGTTTCCTTGTGACCTCATGGCCCCTCCTACGTGGCCCTCTTTGCCGGCCCCTCATCCTCTGTCTGACCTTGTGCAGCCCCAGGTCTCAGGAGGAGGCAGGAATGAGTGACTCACCCACAGGTCCCCAGGATCCCCTTCATTCATTCACCCAGCACATGTGATGGGCTCACTGTTTAACAGCTCCATTTGGGGGCCACGGTGCAGCCCTGAGCCACACTGTCTCCACACACCTCGAGCTCACCTGTGGGTGAGGGAGACAATGTGCAAACAAGCAGACAGTGTCCCAGAGAGCAAAGTGCTGTGAGGGAACATAAAGCAAGCAGAGGGGATAGAGTGAATGGTGCGGCGGGGGGGGGGGGGAGGGGACAGGGAAAAGAGCCGGTGCCAGGGACTGAGGCAGGACATGCTTCTTCAGGAGGATGGGCCACGAGGCTGGAGCCAAGTGAGCAAGAGAGAGCGCATCAGGATAAGAGTCAGAACCATAGAAGCATCCAGAGTCCCCAAGGCTCAGGAAGGCCCTGCAGATTCCACCAGGAGAGGGACCTGATCTATTTAAACTGTAAGTCATCTCTCTGGCAACACGTGGATACTTGACAGGAGGCACT